CTCCATCCCATAAATACTTCTATCAGGAGCCAAAGTACATCATGGGAATTCACCAAGGTGATCTGAGCAGGTGTTCTAAGTCAAAGTACAGCAAATAAAGCTTAAAATCTTCAAGAGCTCTTGAAAAGCCAGAAAGAAGGTTTCAGCAATACGCAAAAGGATTAAATGAATGATATCAGTCAGAGCTGAGAACTTCACTAGGATCGCATTCCCTATGGTAACCAAGCATAAGCTATTACAACATGACAGCGTTTCATGTACAAGTGACTTCTGAACAACTCAGGGGTTAGGGGTGCCAACCTCCACACAGTTAAAAACCCACATATAACTTTTGATTCCCCCAAAACTTTGTTGTCCCAAGCACCTGAGGGGGATTGGTTTCAGGACCCCAGCAGATACCAAAATCCAAGGATGCTCACTCACATCCCCTATATATTGAGTTGGGAAAGTCATGACGCATTTTTGCACTGAAAAACATAGAAAAAAACTCCATGAATTTCCCGACAACCCAATAAAATGGAGTAGAACAATGGATACAGTGGGCCCCCCACATCTGTAGATTTCCAACTGCTAACTGAAAACAGTACAGGTACTTATTGAAAAAGTCCACACATAAGTGGACCCATGCAATTTAAACCCATGTTGTTCAAGGGTGAACTATATTCCATCACACCTGTTCTTTGGGGGGAGGTGGGAGCAGAGGTGCAACTTCACCTACTATGTCCATTAGTACCCAGCCCCTACTCATGGCTTCCGAACACTATTGATCGTACCTGTGTATGAGGTCCATGTGTCTGCATCCAACTTTCCTCCACACCCAAATTAGATTTTCAGCTTCTCCAGGGTTTCTTGTCCCCCCTCCTCCCCTTAAAAGGCTCTTGAGGGCTGGCCAAGTGGCTCAGCTGGTTAAGAGCTCACTTGAGAGCACCAGCTCTGAGCAGCAGGGCAGCGGTTCGGATCCCACATTGAGGGCCAGTGACGCTCGCCCTCTACAGCTAAGATAATGAACAATAGCTCAACCTGGAGCTGGGCTGCCATGAGCTACGTGAGTGGCTGGCAGCCAGCGTGAGCGGCTAGTAGCCGGTGTGAGCTACCGGGAGCTGCTGTGAGCGGCCGACCAACGACCGGCGACCGATTGCTTCACCCAGGAAGAGCACAATGATCATACCAACATGGGCCAGTGAAGCGATGTCCTCCACAACTAAACTGAAGAACAAAACAGCAATTTGTCTACCTGTCTGTTCCCCTTCCCTTATTCCCCAACGCTGTTACCCTCCCCCCAATTCCCCAATAAAATCTTTAAAAACAAACAAAAAAAGGCTCTTAGTAAATCAAGTGAGCACACACTCAAAAAATATTTGGGGATAATGACATATTCATCTATTAATTAATTTTATTCATCAAGTAAATAAATATCAGGTACCGACCAAGTTCAAAGCACAGAGCTATGTGCTATGCAAGATGATTTTGAAAGGAATTTGTCATGAATCTACCCTTAATCAGCTTACAGTTTTTAATAAGCCATTTTCTATTTAGTTTGAGCCAAGAAAAACCTCAGCTAAAACTGAGGACATCTAGGAGGAGTCCCTTCTATCCAGAATCACCTTCTTGAGCATTCATTCTGAAGGTTCTATAAACTCTGAATCACCTTGCTAGTTCTCAGCTTCTGGGAGGTGAACAGAATTTGAGGAATAAAACTAAACAGTAAAATAGATGTGGGGATTATGGACTGATTTAAGGAGAATATGGCTGGCATTTTGGCACACAGTAGGTATACACAAAAGATGTCTCTAAAAGTCTTGGTTTATTTCTGACACTACCCTCTTCCACTCTCAGGCTCCCAGCTCTCAGCCTCTCAAATACGTATGTTCATTACAGATAGGATAAGCTTTACCTGGCAAGTAGTAATGGTTACCTTTGAGTCCTTCCTATGAACCAGGCATTATTCGTATGCTGTTTCCTAGCATATTCTCATTTTAATACTCATGAGGCAGGTTCTTTAAGTATTCCTATTTTACCGATAAGAAAACTGAGATTGGGGTAACAGTTTATTCAAAGTCACCCAGGCATAATTTCATTAGAATGCACGTCTGTTTGACTCTAGAGGTAGAGTTCTCATCATTTAGTATACCAATTTTGAGTTTCAGAGGTTCTGATATTTTATCTTTGGGCTTCGGGTAATTCCTTCAAAATTCCCATCTAATACTCTAATTGGACAAAGGTTGTTTTCTTTTACAGTTGAGTCTTAAGGGAGTACAAAAAAAGAAAACAAAAATTCCGCAGAAAAAAACAGACTAGTTGAACAGGGAAGAAACAGCTGCATCCACTTTAGGTAAAGTTACATGGCCTACTTTATGGTTTTGGATGAAACAGCATGTTATTATTTGTCTATTCATTCTCCATGGTTTACTAGGAAAATACCATTCGTTTCCCATTACCTTTCTCTTTAAGAGCTAGGATAAAGAGAATATTATTTCCCCACACATATATACATAAGGAAAGAGTAATGAGTTCCCACTTTATTGGAAGACCAGAGTCTGTCACTTCTTCATCCACCAAGATTCCAAAAATTCTTAAGAGTTTTGTTGATACATCTATGAGAGTTCCCTCTTTAAAAACAAGTAAAAAACAAACTAACAGAAACCTTTCAAGCACTCATTTTCCATAACCTGGGGTAGTGAAAAATAAAGAACACTCAATCAAAGCAACACGAGGAAGTTATCTAACGCATATAAATACCTAGTCCTGAAATCTTCAACTACTTTCCTTTAGGGATTATGTTTTTGGGGAAAAGGTAAAATCATTTTCCTCCAATAACTTCATCTGAGATTGACAAAAAACAGGGAGAGAAAACCGAGTAGGCTGATGTTCCCCTAGCAGCTTCAGTGCGAGCTGTCTAAGCTTCTACTTTTTCTTTGAAATAAACAGAACTTTGAAAGAGAAATTTATAAGTTTTTCTCCTAGATATTAATGCTTTCTTTCTTTGAACTCACATGAGCCCCCAAAATGGTGCCATGAATCCTTGAGGTAGCACCAAGCAACGTGGGGTTAAAAGAGAACTTGGCTAGTACCTCTGTGCCTTTGGCCGAGAAATCCAGGCTCAATCCTGGTTGATTTTTGGAATGGGAAATGCACAATATCGGTATTACAGGCAGCTCCAGAAAGGCATGCCAGGCCTCTCATGCTCTCAATTTATATTTGCATGTGAACAGCTTGTCGGCCATTTTATGAAGACAGATGAATCACAGGCCTGCTAGAGGGGCGGCCAGACCTAAATACATGAACCACATACCCCTATAGCCCACAAATTTTTAAAAATGAAAATGAGTATCTCTGGATACAACTTCAGGCAGATTATATATAAATACATGAAAAAAAATTGAAACATATATAAGGCATCATCTATAAGTCAAGTGAGAAATAAAGAATGAAACTGATCTATAAATATCACTCTTTAAAATGTCAACAGAAAATAAGATGTAGTTGTTTATGACACTAAAAACAAGACTTCAGAGGTCTTTCTCTCTCTCTTTTCTTAATGCCTGCTTTGAAAAGACAACTTTGACAAAGAAAATACCACCAAAATACCAGGATGAGAAGAGGAATAGCCAGATAGCCCATATTTAATGCTAGATCCCAGCAATGTTATAAAGAATTTCCCAGCTTGGGAAATGAAACAAATCCTGAAAAATTAGTGATAGAATATCTAATGTGGTAAATTCAATCCTCCACCCCACAGTACTGACATAATTCAGTTTACTTATTGATTCCAAAAGATCAGATGGGGATCAAAATGGGAAAATGTATAGAACAACGAAAGGAAGAGAGGCTTGGCGAATGAGATCACTCTAAGCAGGTGACAAACAAATATGGTAGGATTATACTGACTGGAAAAACAGTACGAGTAATATTGAACAATAGCCAACAATTTTTTAGTATAAACTATATGACTATGTACATACAATCATATTTAATTATTTAACAGGTAATATTCTTCCCATATTATTTTCATGATGAGGACTAAATCTATATATACCCTGAGAGGTTAAATAACCTATTCAATATTACAAAGGTAAGAAACAGCAGAGGCAGAATTTTAATGCAGGTCGGAAACCACAGCCTGAGCTTTTAACCGTGAGGCCATATTCCCCTCACAGGCTCCTCAAGGTCAAGCATTCCCATCAGAGCCTTCATTTCTATCACCAAGGAAGAGCACTTTGGAACTTTATGAGCTAATATCTGTGAAGGTACACAATACAATGTTTAGCATATGATATGTACTACTAGTTCACTTCTCAGTTTTATTGAAAACTGATGGTTTTACTCAGTCTAAAATTCCAACCCATGACAATGTTTTTCATACTTAGAGTACATGCCTCAAATTCAGTATTTTACCTTGTATTTATATATTTATATATAAATTTACTCTTGTATTTATATATAAAGGATGTATTCTATTTTAATCAAATTGCTGCAACAGAAAGTTTATATATTTATGCAACTGGAGGGATTTAACACTGTGATGTACCTGTACTGTTTTATTTTAGATAATTTAAAGCGGAAAACTCTTGAAAGTTCGAGATCGTTTTCTTAAAGCAAGTAGCAAAGGGTTGAAACTCCTGAAATACTTGTCAACCCATGATAGTAAATCGCTAGTGAAGAAGATCGTGGGGCATTTGCCATTTTAAAAGGAACTAAAATGAAATGAAAAAGCCATGATTTCTCACTTACGTTGTAAAAGATTCTGATTTGGTAAGTCAACCCTGCCTCACATAGTAATCAACTATATTGAGAACTAAGGTTCTTATGAGGACTCAGTAGTGCTTAGGGGGTGGGGTGGACAGTCGAAGGGTGCTAGAATGATCCAGAGGACTCCTTGAGTCCTCACTTGTTCCCACTGGGGGCCACCCATAAGGCAGACCCTAAAATCCTTGTACTTGGTTAGCTGCTGGCTACTGTGGACTCGCAAAGCAGCAGCTAGAGTCCCAAACTAAACTTACCATTTTCTGGCTGGTCCTTAATGTCAGCGTCACTTGGCTGGCTGGGACTTTCAGATTGACTTGAATCTGAAAAACATAAAAATATAGCCAAAAATTACAGGGTCTGTGAGGGAAAGTGGATCAGGGGTGCCAGACTTTCTCAAAAGGTTCAGCATAAAAACCAGGAATGAGAATGTTACAGAACTGACATGGTGAACGAGGGAAGAAAAGAGAAAAGAAAGGGGGGGAAGCAGCAGCAGCAGCCCATGCCCTTAGAGAGGTGTCTGGGGTTTGTTCACACCTTCGGTGGCGTGTGGCTTGTGCCAGATCATAACTTGAAACTCTTCAGAAACCATTCTCTTACAGAGAGAGAGACCATTTCCAAACTGCTCTTCTCCATTATTTATACACTAGAGTCTGATAAAGACTTCATCCTTCATTACACACATCTGAAGCTTGATTCAGAACATAATAAAGTGTCAAAACATATTTTGAAGCTGGTATATAAAAGCAACCCAAACAACAGTAACAAGTTCTGTTGATATTTAACTCAGTATTACAGCAACAGACTATGCAGACTAACACCATTAAATACTAGAGTCCTAATATTCTAGCACGTTTACTTGAACTAACAGGATAAAGCAACTACATCTTTCTGAAAGGTACATTTCCCCTCCTTTACAAGTATTATTTTTCTCTTTTACTGATGCATTTAGGAGATCCTAATGAGGTGTGTTAGCAAAAACAGTTTCTTGCACACTTTTATCAAATTCCATTTATTTTTTATTTAAAAAATACAATCATTTTCAAACCAAAAAAAATTAATTCAATTAATTTACTTCTAAGTGGGATAATTTAAGATAACATGTAAATTCAAAATCAGATAAAATTAAGTTAGATCAAAAGAATTTCACAGAATTAAAAGCAAGCATACTTATGAGACAAACTTTGGAGGCGAGGAGAAGAAAAACAAGCAAAATTGTTTGTTTTGTCAAGCAGAAAATTTTTTGATGTAAAGCATTTTCTGAGACTTGAAACAGTACATAACATTATCTGATAACAAACAAAAAAAATTTTTTTAGAAAAAACTCTGTTATCTGTGGAAAGCCTGAATCCAAACTTTACCTTGACTTCACAGCACTAGAATTGACTGTCTGAAATTTGACGACATTTCAGCAAGAAGTTCAATGCAAGATCAAAAGATCATGATACCTAACTGTGATTAAATTGAAAATATTACTTCTATTTCAACAGAGTTATACCATTCCCTTTCTTGGCAATATTGCAAAAAGAAGTAGCACTACTAATGACCCTGGGTCAAGAAATGCTAATTTATTACTTTAGAAAGTCTCCCTGCTTTTAAGCAAATGAAGATTTTAATTATAGGGAAGTACTATAAAGAAAATATCTATTTTTAAATTTTCAGAGGATCTTAACATGGTGACTACAGCAAAAATTCTATGTTGATTCAAAGGTTCAATAACAAAAGATGTAAAATGTGAATTTTTATTCAAGTTTGGCAAAGTGATAGCTTTTATCATCTTGTAAAAATCGCCATAGTGAAGACACAGACAGAAAGCATTATAGGTCAAAGGACTTTAGAAAAATTCATCATAATGAACCACAAAATTAAATACAAAGCCTGCATTAAAAATTGGAAATGAAAATTTATATTGGATGGATCATATTTGAAATTTTAACTCCATTTAAATTAGTATTATTTTTATAGCAAATGATTTAAAAATATGGCATGACTACCTTCTCTTTTTCTCAGAAAAGGTCCTGTAATTTTTGTTATCAAATATTACAAATTAAATACGCTGAGAAGTACAATGTATTTTAGGAGAAAGGTATACCTTCATTATTTTTTCTGGAAAATTTTAAACCATTAATAACCATAATTAAAATTAAAGAAAAACATCTAATTTTGTTTCAGGGTAAGTTAAAATTCTTCCTGATCATGTCCCAAAATAGATACATAAAATTTTGCCAAAAAGAACATTTTCTTTGGAGTGGTAGCAGTAAACCTAACTTTCTATGTGATAGCTTAGCTGATGTTCTTCTAGGTGTAATATCTTTGCAATTGATCACTTCATGAACAAATGGAAAAACATTTTTTACCTCAAATAATTTAAATATCTGATATCCAGTGACTTTTCTGATATTTATCCATTCATCAGAAGGCAAAAAGGATAATGAGAGACCCTCAGGAAATTTTTAAATAATCTCAAAGTGGACTTCTTTGTTCTTTTTACTTTTCTTTTACATTTGGTTCGCCACCGTATCTTTACAGGAATATAACATGATTATAGAAAACATGCACAGCAACAAAAGATGGCTCTAGGTGCATCCAAAGAAAGTTTAAAATTCCAAGCCACAGAAAAAGCAGCAAATAAACAGCAAGCGACTGAGCGGCGGCAGAAGGCTGAGTTGGTCTGAAACGGGCCGCAGGGCTCTTGTGAAGGCTCAGACACAAACACTGGAGGAGGCATCTCGCCAGACTGAAAACGGAATTTCATTTCTCCAGTTTTATTCAAAAGCTGGAGACGCTGTTATCCACAGAGGACTGTATACTAAAATACACCATCCTGGTAAGGGGCAGCCAGAGCCAAAGATCTACAAGAAAACTGAAATGGTCTAAAAACTTCAATAATAATTTTCTACCAATGGGCCATCTCGTGTCATTCTTTTTCTTTGAACCAAGGAACAAAACTACCCAGTCTGGGTGTTATTCTATGCTGAGCACACATGGACACTTCCTTTGGTAATGCAAAAGGTCACCAATGCTGTTAAGTAGGGAGCCAAACAGATGACCAGAATTACAAATTAATTTCTACCCATACATAATTGATACAAATGAAAGATCTCTTTCTTAAGCATTTGCATTAAAACACTATCATGAAGGTTAACAATTAATTTACTCTTCCTTTTTTTGTATTTGGTACAGGCCTGTCAGCAGCCAAGGTAACTTTAGATCTTACTTTTTGGGACAATTATCACGTGGTTAGTTGATTCCCATCACCTGAAATAATTAGAGGCGCCCACCCCCCGACCCTGCCCAAAAAGGAGGGGAAAAAAAAAACTGACTACATAGAACTGGATTCCATATCTTACATTTTAGATCTTAGATCTGGCAGTGACTTTCTCTGGTTCCCTAGCCAACAAACAGATTTGTATATTACAATGAAGAGAATATTATTTAAAGTGTGTTTAAATGAGGGAGTTGAAAATGCTATTGTGAGGAAGTACATTAGGGTTATCAATTTTTTTCCCCCCATCTAGGGATTGGTTTTTGTTTAAGAAACCTTAGACTACAACCTAACCTTGAAAAGCAATATTTCTATTTGGTTTTTTAAAAATGTATGAGCAGGAATTTAAACCTAAAATAGACAGGGTTTGCTTATAGGAGGATGGGCTGAGATCTCTTAATTGAACTGGTAGCCATCTATCTATGCATTTTTATGGCGCCTACAGCTATATTGCTGGAGTACTCAGACAAAGATATTTCACTATCAATATAATCACTGGGGAAAGGAATAAAATAAATCCTAATGCCTACATATTAGTCTCTGCTTCCATAGCCTGTGCAGTGCGAGAACAGAAACTTTGTACTGCATTTGCTCATCAGCCTCAGATTCAGTTCCCCCCAATCTCAATGCTGCTCCCCTTCAACATGGGACTTCAGAGAATACTTCTTTGGGGAAAGTGAAGAATAACAGAAACATGTCAATATGGTAAAACTGACCAGGCAAAAATACAGACATCACTTCCATGTGTTTTATGTTCTTTAGGTATGAAGCAAAGATGCAATGTTGCTCAAGCCTGACCTAGAATGATACTTTCTCCTGTCCAGTCCTTAATTGTACATATGGTAGGAAGACATAGTAAGTTATACTTAGGTGTACTGACGTGCTTTTAAATGTTCTCTTATAAGAATTTGAGTTCTGTAAGAAAAAGTGTTCCTTTCTTACTCTTGTGTTAGCCTCAGTGTCTTCTAAGAGTGCCTGGCCCAGCCAAGGATTCAATAACTGCTGAACTAAAGAGACGAATTTTCATTCGTTCAGCTTTCTAATGCTGAGCCACTGCCAGCGACTAAAAAATCTACTACGTTTGCACCTAAAAGGAGATTGGGACTTATAAAATGATAAAGGCGGGCAAAAAAGAACTTGATTTCTACTTCAGGTCCCCTTTTCGGGGACCTGGCAAGGGTGCGAGAGGCATATCTCTGTGGTTGGTGGGTGGTAAATCTTGCACAGCGTTTAGAAGTTGCAAATCTTCACGCCCAGTGATCCCCTGGCTGACACTCCACATGAGGCTCCTCAGAATAAGAAGAGCTGGAGGACGGTGTCTGCCACATAGGAGGCCCCAGGACTGTGTACAGGTTAATGATGGACAGAGGAGTATTTCCCACATTCAAAAACTACAAAGATAAGAGAAATCTGCCATATCCTGAGATCTGAGGAGCGCTTCAAAATCCCACTGACTGCTGTTGTGAATAGCTGATAAAAGAACAAGCACACAGTGGTGAAGAACCCTGAAACAAACCGGTGTAACTCCTATTTAGTCAATATGATATCAACAAAAGTCTATGGGCCATAAACATACAAATTCATGTTCCACTAAAAAATAATTTAGCCTAAGTTTCAACCTCCCTACATGCATAAGATTTGGGTAAAGATCAGGTTTGAAAAGCCTTTGTTAGAATTTTGTGTCCAGTTTTTACTCTCCTAAATTAATAGGCAATGTGAAGAAACGGAAGGCATCCAGAAACAAGAATGAGTTAGTCAAGTGAAAGAAATAAAGTGAAAATGCCGCCTCAAAGAGCTGGAGTTGTTTATAGTGTGAAAAAGGAAAAGTAAAGACAGGAATGAATACTTTTCTGCAAATAAATGAAGACTTGGGAGCACTCCCGGGGTAAAAGAAAATAAGGGATAAGGGTGATTATACTCTGAATATAATAAATAGTTAACCTCTAGAACTGTAGCCTTTAAAGATGTTCAAATTTTAGGTAAGCTTTGGAAATATTTAGGAAACCTTTATTTGAGAATGGCGAATGTCAGTGCACAGGGTGTGTGTGTGTGTGTGTG